TGTGTGTGTGTGTGTGTGTGTGTGTGTGTGTGTGTGTGTGTGTGTGTATGTTGTACATGTGAGTCTATGGAAGTAAATAGAGTAGTCAACTCATTGTGGATACTCAGCATGTATTTATGGAGTGTGGAGTGAATGGCTGAAGCCATGGCTCCTGGTTCCATACTCAACCCATTTCCTAAAACTCTCTTCAGCCTGTTGTCATGACTTTGTGACCCAGCTGACTGAATGTTTGACCTTCACTCATGAAATCATGAACAGCTGGAAAACAATTATTTTCGTCTTCTTTTTTTCTATCAACCATGACACCACCCCTACCCCAGGGCTTTTGTACATGTTAAGGAGACAATAATTCTGTTGCCATTATTGCCAAAGAAAATCAGCATGGTTGTCAAAAAGCAATGCACTCTAAGCCTTCGTTAACAGATGTTCAATGTAAAAGAGTATTTGTATTCCCGGTGCCTCTTGTGTGGATCAAATCACATCTGAAATATTATGTTCAATTCTGGGCAACAACCGTACATTCCTTCCTTCAACAAATGTTTATGAGTGCCTACACTGAGCCAAGCACCTTTATGCAATGCCAAAGGCTTAGAAATTTAGAAGGCAGGATTGAACTTTTTTTTTTTTTTGCCACTTACCATGTGTAACAGGCAGGAGAAAGTAGGTTTTGTTGCAGAAACAATCTAAAAATGACAGCAGGTGACCATGTCCCGTTTTTGTCCCTTTTGATGCCACACATTCACTGCAGACTCTAAGTCTCTCTACTCTGCCTGGTCTGCGTTCCAGGACCCACTTCGAAGCCTGCTGCTTTTGTGGCAGGGAGAAAGCACAGTCAACCGTGGTTCTTCAAGCTTCTGCCCAGAAACCGCATGCATCTTTTCTGCTCACAGTTCAGATGGCTGCATCTGAACTCCCACAGAGAGGGCCCAAAAGGACCATCCTGCATGAGCCAATCTGCTAAGGTCTCTGTCTTATGGTCTTAAGATGGTAAGAACGATGTGTACATTGAAGATGGAGATGAGGCTACAAAACTGTTCTCTTGGCAGCTAGCTGGCTGGAGGGATGGCTCAGTGCATGGAGTGCCTGCTGCACAGACATGAGGACCTGTGCTCCATCCTTTGCACCAATGTAAAAGGCTGAGCATGGCAGGAAATGCCTGAAGTCTCAGTTCTGAAGGTTAAAACTCTGTGAATGTGGGGGTCGGGGGCAGCCAATCTTGCCAAAACTGCAAACTCCAGGATCAGTGAGAGGCTCAAAAATAAGGTGGAGATGCTTCACATACACATTCATGAGCAACTGCACTCAAACACGCAGGCATATACCATACACCCATTTGCATGCCAGCACATACCACACATGCACACTAACACATTTACACACTTCTATTTAAATTCCTAAATTTCAAAATCTTAATCTGGGAGTGGTAGCACACATCTTTAATCCCAGCACTTGGGAAAGAGATGCAAGCGGGTCTCTGAGTTTGTGGCCAGCCTGCTCTACAGAGCAAGTTCCAGGACAGGTTCCAGGGCTACACAGTAAAAATCTTGCCTCAAAAAAAAAAAAAAAAAAACAAAAAACAAATAAGTTTAAAAATCCTGATGGTCACTACAAAAAAATTGTTGATCATTTAAGAATAAACTAGTTCTCTCTTTCTTTGAAGCTTCCTTTGAAGACCCACTGAACTGACTAAATCATGCTTCCAGCATCAGATTGATATGCTTTCCATCTCCGTTTTCAACACTTGGCCAGAATCAGAGAAACTGATGAACAAATAGATTGGATTCTGTTTTGATAACTTACTAGTTTGTTTTTGTTTTTTGTTTTGTTTTATGTGAGGTTCGTTTCCAAATAAAACCATAAGCAGTTGGTCTGGGACCATGTCTCATACTTTTCTGCATCATTAGAAACTAGGACCAGGTCTGGAGAATGGCATAGTGATAGAGTGTTGGCCCAGCAGGTGCAAAGCCCTGAGTTTCATCCCCAGCCAGGAGGGGAAAGTAAGAACAATTTCACACCACTAGAATTTCTTGCTATTGATATGGAGGTTTAAGAATAGAACTAAGATTTTAGGTTATCATTTCCTAATACCCATTGATTTTATAAGTTTGCAACTATGTTTACATGCATCTCATTTATTTATTAAAATTACATATAATTTTCTACCAAATAATGTCAGGGCAAAAAGCACATTAATCTCTATTTACATATTAAAAGTTTATATTTATATGGATACATTAGTAATATCACTTCTGGATTGGTCAACCAAAAAACTAACTAAAGTGCTAATTTATTATTTTTGTTCCTTTTTTATTCCTTTTCTTAGGATGATTAAAAGAATATTTTATATGTAAAGAGTTGAAACGCCTTTTTATAATATAATTTGTACTAGTCCTCTTAAATATTTGGTAACCATGTGAATTATCAGATAACTTAGATGTAATTATGCAGTTGGGGGAATTCCAAAGTAAGGCTTTCCTCTCTAGTCTGCATCTTCTAATTCAATCTCCTAAGAATCCTCCTTTAAAGTGAGACACTGGAGAGGTGTCTGAGAGTCACTGAGTGACATCTATCCGGGCTTCTCCAAGCCACACAGTCCTCTGAACCATGTGTACCTGGCAACCAGGCCATCTTTCCACAGTGTCATCTGGTGTGGAAGGTGTTGGTGATTATGTAAGACTTTGAAGATAGGAACAATAATACCCAGAGAGCCTTGCAAACAGATGGCCTGTTCTTGGTCACAGATAGCTCTTTCGGGCTTGCTGTTTCGTCAAAATAGCCTCAATAACAGTCACAATTATGCAGAGCTAGACACTGAGATTTAGAGCAGTGATTTTTATGCATTTTACTTCAGCTTCACAAAAGGTTGCTGGCTGCTGGTCTGTGTCTTTGTTAAGTATTTTAATTTGGTTTTTATTTATGAAGCTCTGAATGGTAGGGCCTAGACTGTTAAGGGAAAGATGTGGAAAATATATCTTCCCTAAGGGCAAGCATGCACGTATCCTTCTTGTTCTCAGAGGGAAAAGTATTCATCTGGACTAGATGAGTGATTTCCATCCACCCAGCTCTAGTTTAATGAATTAGATTTAATTTCATGTGGGTTGGATCAGATCTGACATCTTAATTTCTGCCCAGAAACAAGCCATGTGGAGAAATCATATCAAATGGCCATATAATGTTTCTTGCTTGATTCTGCGTGCATGCGTGTGTGGTCATGCATGTGTATGCAAGTGTTGGTGTAGGCCATGGACCCCCTGCTGCTGAGCCAGGGACTGTCGCCATTGTAGAACTTGCTATGTTAGCTAGGCTGGCTAGCCGAAGAGTGTCGAGATCCACTTGCTCCTGCCACCCAAGCAATGGAATTATAAGAGGGTAGCGTTTTGTTTCCCAGGTTCTGGGGATGGAATTTGGGTTCTCATGCTTACACAACACTTTACTGACTGAGTTATCTCCCCAGCTCATTGTTAAAAAAAAAAAATTAAAGTGTTAAGCTCCTCCCCAGACATAGGAGGAAATCTTTTGGATGTTGGGGCTAGAAATCTTTTTTTTTTTTTTAATGTTGCCAGTGATTTTTTTTGTTTTGCTTTGTTTTGTTTTGTTTGCTTGCTTATTTGTTTTGAGTCAGGTTCTTTATATGTAGCCCTGGCTAGGCTAGTAGTTGCTACGCAGCTTAAGCTATTCTCAAGTCCGCAGCAATTCTCCTGTCTCCTGGCTCTGTTGGGATTATGGGCATGTACCATAGTTGGCTGGAAACTGCGTTTTCAAGGTTCCTTCGTGATTCTGTTTATCCGCCATCTTCTGGAAGTATTGGCAGCATTGCAAAGCTGCGGTCTCTACGCCTAGCAAGAAGGGCTACACCTGGGACTTGGGTCATTCCATTCCGGCAGTTGGAAATCAGGTGAGAAGCACAGCAATCCCTACCACTGAGACGTAACACATATTCTCATAGACAAGGAGGCATGCAATCCTTGATCACAGAATGCCCAAGCAGAGACTTTAGTGATTGCATTGTCCAGCATAATAGCTCTACACTCTCACATTCCTGGGTGGGGATCCCTTAGAGCAATGCTGCCCAAGCTGTCCTTCTGGCTCAGGACTGACTTTCACCCACTTGAGCTGTAAGCCCTTCTATTGTTTACACTGTGTATAGCATTTGTCCAACCCTATGGACCTGGTCCCTGTCTGAGTCTATCCAGAACCCCCTTTTCGTGAGTGTTTGTGAGTACTGTTGATTTTATCCAGAACCCCCTTTCCTTGAGTGCTTATAAGCGGTGCCTGCCAGGGGGAACTTATTTAATAAGAGAAGCCGATGTGTACATAACTCAAATTCTGAAATCCCCTATGATAACACTATTATGTGTGATTGCAATTCTCTGAATTCTTTTAGCTTATTTCCTGCCACCAGAGTGACGGATGCTTTGATATGCTCTTGAGTTTCTGTGATGCTCTGCCATGAAGTCCTGTAACTCATCTCACTGACGGTGCTGATCTCAGGGTTAGTCATAAGTGCTGGGCTGTTCCCAGAAAGAACAGCCTCCAGCGTACCTCCTGCCTTGTGCTTGCCCAGTGAGATATGTTAGTATTAGGGCCCCCAATTCCTTCCCTATCAGGCTGTCATGTTGGGCAAGCACAGGGATTTATGTAATTTTAGGAAATTGCAGGTCCTTGTTTTTATAGAGTTCAAATGTACATACACACAAATCTATATAGTTTATAAATGCTGTATGTGGATACACGTATGTATTTGAGTGAGTCTAAGACACAGACATTTCACTATTTTCCTAACTCAAAGAACAATATCATGATTCTTTCTTTCTTTCTTTCTTTCTTTCTTTCTTTCTTTCTTTCTTTCTTTCTTTCTTTCTTCCTTTCTTTTTTTCTTTTTTCAAGACAGGGTTTCTCTGTGTAGCCTTGGCTATCCTGGACTTTCTTTGTAGATCAGGGTGGCCTCGAACTCACAGCGATCCCGCCTGCCTCTGCCTCCCTGAGTGCTGGGGTTAAAGGTACGCACCACCACTCCCAGCTTCATGACCATTTCTTCAGCTAATAGTCGTAACAACAAATTGATCACCTATAGAGATACACTTGACCCTTAAAGAGACTGAATGATTTTACCTAACAGGAAGTCATTACTCATCCAGGGAAGTAAACTCCTACAAGTCCAAGACTGAGGAACGGGATGGTCCAGAAGGATGGAAAGGAGAACAGCAGTCCATTCACTTAGTGATAGATGGTTCTGATTACCCTCTCAGTGTGGGGCAGAAGTGGGCTCGGCAAATAGTCTGAAGCTGTCATGAAAGAGTCAGGGTAAGCACCAGGCATTCTTTCTCTCTCAGAAAGGACCTCCCTTCCTGCTAGTTCTCCTTACCCTCAACTTCTCCACCTTTATTTTTTATTTCTTTAACTTCAGGCCAACATTCCTTTGTCGTGTATGGTGAGTAAACATAATATTTATCATTTCAGCTCTGTGTAAAGGTATAGTTGCAGCATTAAGTCTCTCTCTTCTTCCTCTTTAGACAATGTCTCATGTATCGCAGGCTGGCCTCAAACTTGGTGCATAACTAAGCGCTACCTTGAGGTTCTGGTCCTGCCACGCTTACCTCCCAAGTGCTGGAATCACATGTGCATACCACAGCGCCTGGTTTACAAGGCACGAACGGGCACACGTGGGGCTTTGTGCATGCTAACCAGCATTCTGCACTCCCAGGACCAAATTCCTCTGATTTTTAAATGGCGAATTCCATGTGCCCCATAAATGCCTATGGAGGCTAGACAGAGAAACATTAATGCGGGCTGTAACTGGGAATTCCAGAAGTACACGTAACTAGTCTGTCTTCCTCCGCGTGTTCCGTGAGCTTCTTTTCAATCGAAAAGATTTTTTATTTTTTATCTTAATTACAGTTTATTTACTTTATATCCCAACTGTAGCCCCTTCCCTCCCAATCTCACCCTCCCTCCCTCATCTCCCTGCCCCTCTCTAAGTCCACGGATAGGGGAGGACCTCCTCCCCTTCCATCTGACCCTAGCTTATAAGGTCTCATCAGGACTGGCTGCAATGTCCTCCTCTGTGGCCTAGCAAGGCTGCTCCTCCCTCGGGGGGTGGGGGTATCAATGAGCCCACCACCGAGTTCATGTCGGAAATTGAAAAGATTTTTGCTGTGGAAAGCTTACCTGGTTATGGTTATGGTTATGCTCGGTGAAGAGGGAAATGAAGCCTTGCAGACAGCTTCTGGCTTGTGGGCTGCTGTTCATTTGTTGGAGGAGCAAGCCAGACCACCTGAACCCCTTTCCCCCAAAAAAGGAAAATTAACAAAACAAGAAACACCACTGAACAAAATGCCAAGTGAAACTGAAATGTAAAAACCTACAAGAGGCTGAAAAGGGAGCGAGAGTAAAGTCTGAAGTGGCAATATCAGAGTTTCTAAAGGGAAAGAGGTTAGTTACCCTTATGGAACAGAGCAAAGGACACATAGGAAGTGATCCGTATTTACTGACTAAACAAACGAGGGCCAAACTTAAGCAAAGGCCAAGGACAGTGAAGGTGCAAGGACAACTTAATAATGGCATGTAATAGCTGCCTGTGGCCAGGACAGATGGGGGAGGTGGTGCTAAGATGCCATGGGACAAAGCTGGAACCCCAACCGTAACCCCAAAGAGCAATGCTCAGCAAATTCCCTCCAGGGTGACTAGAAAGGTCCTGAAGGTAAACCTCTTAGCAGTTAAAAGGTCCTTCAGGGCTCCAGAGTAGGAATGAGAGTAGAAGTGAGATCCAGGAATTAAGACAGCAATATAGATCAGAAAAGAGAAAGTATGACCAGAGTTATTTTAGGAGACCAAGGAGCAACAGAGTATGCTTAAGCAGTATGGGTGAAATGCCTCGTGTACCAGTTTTTTTGGCTTAGAGGACAAATATATGCAGACACTGTCTTCACGGGACTCAATTCTACTTTGAAAGCAAGTTAGTGGTTTGGGATATAATCTGAAAGGGTCTGGAATGGAGATTATGTATTAAAAGCCATGGAACATGTGCAAAGAAAGACTGGTGAACTCCTCGTGGGTCAGGAAAAACAAAAACAAAACCAAAAAGCAAGCAAAGTGCCTAGAGGAAAGGATATTGACATGGAAGCACTGAAGCAGAAGCCAGGCGGAGAAGTTGGAAGTGAGGAGCATGGCATTCTAGGCCAAGGGTACAACAAAGACAAAGGGGCATGAGAAAGCCGGGGCAGCAAAGCATTGCTTCATCCTTCTAGCAGCTGCCCACTAATCTATGCCGAAATACCAACGCTGCTGGAGATTAGCCATCTGGAGCACACTCACAGCTGCTGTTTAGTAAGTGCTGTGGTAATAGAGCGAAGGAAGCCATGAGAAACGCAGACTTGAGCGAAAAGACCAGAGAAAAGTGGGGCACCGTGTCTCAGCATCCGTACGAGCGTTAGCAGGGTAAACAAGCTGCTAATCACTATGTGATTCCTTCCAGGAATAAATTAATCAATGCTGTCATCATCTGCTTATTCTCCTGTGAATCAGGCGTTACTGGTTTCCCTAATGCTTCCTCAGATCCTGTTATCCAGTAGACTCAGGAGCGGCCCTCATCACTTTCACTGCGGGCCCTCATATAACAAGCAGCAGTATTGGCAGAGCAGGCCCTGTGCCGAAGAGCTGGTAAGCGTTTGCTCGTGTTTATTGACAGCGATGTTGGTTGAAAACCTATCTTTCCCGGCTTGCACACGTACTTAGTAATTAAAGCTGGGGTTTTTATATGGCTTTAAAATATTTTAATAGGAGCACGCCCTGAGGGTCTTCAGCTAAGTTGGGTTTAATAAACTTAATAACCAATTAAGACACCTTCGACTTCAACCTCCATTAGGTTAATTTCTTTAAGGAGTTTCAGAACGTCCCTCAGTACGTTTCTTCCAGAGATGTGCTAAGAACCCTACGTAATTGCATACACCAGATGATGGATTTAATCTCTGATGCTAAAAGTCTAGTACTGTGTAACCTTGGGAGAATCAGTAAGCTGCCAAGGTTTTTTTGGTTTTCTGGTTTTTGTTTTGTTTTGTTTTGGTTTTTTTTTGGGGGGGTGTTTTTTTTTTCTCACTCCAGAAGAGATTTAGGCAAGCCTTTTGAAGATCCTTCCAATTCTTGCCTTTTGTTGATAAATAGTGGAGTGGATGTTTCTTGTGTGTTTGCGTCCCCTCATATTGAAACATTCTACATTCTGTCCTACTGAGTAAATATAAACAACTCAAAATAGGTTCAGGAAGTCCCTGAAGCTGACCACATTCACTAGGTCACTAGAGTAAACAAGCCAAACTGCCGGGAGCTACTCTCAGACAAGGCAAGCTACAAAGAAGACTCTGAAACCAGACCAGCTACTGGGAAGAAGCAGGTCTGGCACTTGCCTGGAAGAGGTTTAGAACAACTGAGTCACCTGGAAGGGACACTCCAAAACATGTTGAGCTGTTTGCAGTATGCTTGCGTAGTATGTTCAAGATTCCCAGATTTTGGGATCTGTTACCCATTTGGGGGTCAACTTTGGTGATATAGGTATTGTTGAGTTGTTTCTGCTTCTCTAAGTAGCCCCTCATCCACACTCCCATTAAGTAACCACAGTAAAACTCACTGGATCACCAAGTTGGTCTTTTGTGATATACATCCTTTGGTTTGTCCTAGGCTCCCTATCTGGGGTGAGTAGATCTGTGTGTTGTGTCTTCCCAGGAGACGTTCTGTCACACAGCAGTGTTACTAGTATTTCCCTTTAGGGAGGCAGAAGTCCCTAGCCTATTCCAAATATCTCTCTCCATGTATAAATGCTTAAATCTCAAATGACCTGACAACTTTGCCCAATTTGTAGGATTACATTAGAAATACATGTCATCAGTACATAAAGATTCTTAGAAATGCTGTTTTCCAATTGATACACAGATAAAATTTGTAGATCATTTAGAGTTACCAACACGTATGGATTGTCTCAAAACAAATGGCTTAGCCCTTTCACTCCAAAGAGTTTGAATACTTTTATTGTCCGGAGCTATACCTTAAAGGACCCACCAACAACTGATAGCTCTTGCCAGTCTATCTCCCTGAAGTAGTGATCTTGGGGCAAAACAATTCACTAGCCTGTACCTCCCTTTATTTCTCCCAACAACCATGCCAGGATAATCCCACTCTGGGAGAATAACCTGGTAAGGAATGAGGAAAGAATGACAGAGAATATTTAAATCGTTACTTAGTTAATTTGCTACAACTGAATAGTCCTTGTTCTCAGGAAAACTTAGGGAATGGAATCCCCTACTTTTTCTTCTTGTATATTAAGATTAAAAACAAACAAACAAACAAACAAACAAACCTTGCATGCTAGATACAGGAAAAGGCTATGTCTGATCTACCTATTGCCTTCATAAATATCAACATTTAAATAACTATATATATATATATTTTTTTTTGTGTGTGTGTGTGTGTATATATATATGTTTAAGACACTGGTCAAATGAACATTTGTCTTCATGTTTTATGGTAGCACGATCAGAGAAAAAGCAATGTCTAAACTGTCTTATTCAGTTTGGCCAAGTGTTGATTATCCAAATCCATGACAAATCTGCCTTTCAGTTTCTTTGTGACTTCCTTCCCTCCCTCTGCATATTCAACTCATCTTTAAAATGTTAGCCTACTTTCCAATTTCCTCCAAGCTAGATTTTCCCAGAAGGGCAACATTAAAAAAAAAAAAAAAAAAAAAAAAAAAAAAAAAACCTCTTTTTCAATTCCCAGAAATTTAGAAGCATCCATATCCAAATGTTAAAATACAAACACATTCCAAAGCAAGATGAAACAGTGCATGCCGCTCCAGGGTTGATGGACTAACTGGGAATGATCCTGCCGTGGCTGAATGTGGGCCTGTTTTCAGTTCACGGTTCATAAAGGCCTCAGCAACAACTTGAGAGTCAAAGCTGTGGTAGTGAGAAGCACTTGTTATGTAGGTATTAAGTAAAGCTGATAATTTACAAAGCTCAGGAATAGGGTGAAAAATATCATAAAACAGAACCCTTCGTTTCCCCACTATTCTTTTTCTTTTCATCCTTTTTTCCTGGGAAGAGGGGAGAGAAGCTTCTAAGGAGATAGCCCCATACCCTGTACTCTGAAGTGACAGCTGCAATAACCTAATATCCTCAGATGACTTCCTTTCAAAACTGTCTTGTAAATTCCTGTGTGTGTGTGTGTGTGTGTGCGCGCGCGCGCGCGCGCGTGCGTGCACGCGTGCGCAAATGTATGCCATCAGAGGTCAGAAGAGAGCATCGGATCTGTTGGATTTGGAGTTATGGGGAGTTTCTGGGCCACCTAACCATGTGAGTGCTGGGAACTCTATCTGGTCCTCTCTAAAAGCAGTAAGTGCTCTTGACTGCTACTCCTTCTCTCTAGCCCCCACCTCCAAACTGTTTGCAGGTTGAAAACTCCTCTGCTGATTTTGTAGTTTTGCTTCTACCCTAATTTTTTTCCCCAACTGAGCTAGAAACCAAGGTCTTGGGGTTTTGGAGCATTGGAGTACCCCAGATCTAAGGCAAGCAAGATGTTCGGGTTTCATGTCTGGAAGCCACATGGAGGAAGAATTTTGACTCCCACAAGTTGTCCTCTGACCTCTACACACACACACATACACTACAACACAAAGTAAATAAGTAGAAATGTAATTTTTAAAAAGTTCAATAAAATTTATAGCTCTAATTAGTGACCTATTTTTTTCAAGTAGATTCAGGAAAAAAAAAAGACTTTGAATCTCTTGCATACTCCTCTCTTGTTGCTTTCTAGCCCTCTCTATCGCTACCTTCCTCCTCCTCTTTTCCCTACTCCTGCTGTAGCCTTTGCTAATTGGCCCTTGATGACCTACCAGACATTTAGTGAAAGCTCAAAAGATTGCCAAACTTCTTGTTGTGTAGCTAGAGGCAGGAAGAATCCTGTCTGTGTTTCCATTTATCTACAGGTACCGGCCTTTTCTATGTGAAGCATGCCTGAAGTAAGCACGCAGGCCTGACCCATCCAAGACTCACATTGTTGCTCTGTTACCTAGGGAGGAACTCCAGACCAGACCTATTAGGGCAACAAAGTTGACTTCCACACAAAAACCTATGAGTCAAACGAATATCCTTCTACGGTAGTGACAGGAAGGTAGAAACTTTGGTAAAACATCCTTAAAACCATTTAGATTTTCCCTTGCTCCTTAGCGAAATGTTTTTAAGTGTAGTCATGGCAATAAACATTGACTAGCTGGCTGGGAAGGTTAGAAGCAACTTCAGAAATCCTCCTGCAGAGCAGTTTCCAAACATGGTTCACACACATCAGAAACACTTGTGGAACTTGTTAAAAAGTTGGATTCTCTGGCACTCAGTGAAT